ATCCCTATTGATGCTTTTTTGCAATAGTGGTGTCTAAGTAAATTTGTCACAAGAGAAATAAAAGCATATAAAATACTAGCATCCCACCACGTAAAATGGTTGACTTTCAATATAACTGAACATGCAAACATTACATCTTGCTTTAAATAGTGCCTACAGCTAAAGGTGATATACTTGAATGAATGGCGCATGCAAAAGGTATCACATATTCAGTCTCATGAATGCACCAAAATGTAGGTTTGTCAAATGGAAAAAGTAAGTACACCCTACATTTACCACCGCTTCAAATCCATGAAATTAGAATCTGCTGTTCCAGATTAGGAGTGAATCATGAGAACCTCTGTAGGGAGAATATAAGTATCTCAGGTGCTTTCAGATCAACGGAGCTCTCGAAAGCCCTCAGAAAGAAGGTTATGGATGGCTAAAAGTCTGATCTGGGATTTAAAAAGATCACCAAATGATTTCAAATCAATCAACTGTAAAGAAAATCCAAGTTGTGTAGATATCAAACAACTACTGATTTGTACAGGACTGGCTGGCCCGGGAAATTCAACCCAAGAGCTGACTGTTTGATGCTAACAGAAGTCTCCAAGAACCACAAAAAGTAATAGCGGGGGGTTCAGGTAGCTCATGCACCAGTACAGACACATGATTCTATTTCAGTTACATTGATGTGATGCATAATGTACAGCAAAACCCTAAGTGTGCTTGATGAGAATGTTAGGCCATCTGTCCAAAAGTTGATGTTGAACCAGAAATGAGTCTTTCATTAGCATAATTATCTGAAGCACACTAGCAAATCTACTAAAAAAAAGAAGGAAACTTTGGGTTATGGACTAAACTAGTGAAACCCACTGACATTTTGTAGGGGCATTTTATTCAAGGACATGCACAAACATCTTTCTACTGATGGAATTTTGCATAAAGACATACAGTGGGCAAAACCAGCTTTTGAGACCAAGGGTATACTTACTTTTTCCATAGTATACCATTACATCTATTGATATGTTTGTTGAATAAAGGATTGAAAAGGTCAAAGTTTCTTATGTTTTTGTTCATGTATATTACTTATATTTCTGAATAAACATCTAATGTTTTCCCGTTTAAATAGGGAACACTTTCCATGGGGTGTACTTGATTACGTAGTCATGTGAAAAATGACTGTACATTTGATATATGATAAAACAAACAGTCATCACAATCCAGTTAAAGATTGCATTCATGTGGTCTTATTTCAGCCATTTGATGTATGTCTTGCCTTTGGACATGGTGTGATATGCAGATTCATTTCAATGGCCAGTCAGTTAGCTTGGCTCTTTCAGATTTATGTTTTAGAGAAAGTTCATGTGTGCCTGCTAGGTACCGTAGAGGATGTGGATGAAGGACCCAGTACAGTCAGCTTCTGTGAAGCTGGTCATATAATGTGTTCTGTGTTTTTGGATATCTCTATGGAATAACTATGCCCTTCCAAATGCATGTTTCCCATGATTGCTGTACTAGTGGTCGTCAAGATTTGGTTGGACAGCTTGACATACATTTTGATAGATTATCTAACAATCAAATAATTATGGAAAGACTTTGCTAGATGATATCAACTCCTAGATCAGGTGTAGACAACCTCGACACTCCAGCTGTGGTGAAACTACAAATCTATCATGCCCTTGCTGGGGCTGTCGGAATCTTGCAATGCCACATGGGACTTGTAGTTCCACAACAGCTGGAGTGCCAAGGTTGCCTACCGCTGATCTAGATCCTTTTATGTTCCCACAGGAAGCGCAAGTCTGAACCAGTTTTATTGAAATCAAACAATGATGTATGTTTTACAGAATGCTATTTTTTGTGCTATTAGTATGACATCTAAACGAAATAAATATACAACATGATTCTCTTGCATTTTTATATTCTTTCCAAGCAAGAGTTTTAGATCGAGCTCTGTGTGGCTGTTTGAAAATGGATGTTGACTGCATTGCCTGCCAAAGACTGTCCTTTGACAAACGTGGTTTGTCAAAGGATCAGCAATCACTGTCCTACACTAAGTAGTACCCAGTGTATATACAGCAGGGACGTGCGGTCAGGGGAGGCAGAGCCTCACCTAGAATTATGGAGGAAAAAGCTGTCGGCTTCAAGTCTGAAGCTGACAGATGCCGATCTGAATGGAGAGAAAGCGAACAGGTTACACAGCCGGGAAATCCTCCCCGCTGTGTAACCTGTCATGGATGGGGGACAGGGCTTTGTCCAGCAGGGGGCGGGGCTTCAGTCGACGGGGGCGGGTCAGGACATGTCTCACCTGGAACAAGAGGTACTTGTCACTGGTATACAGTATATTGCGGCTCCACTGTACAATTACAATATGGGTTTACATGCTAACATTTGAGATATTAACCCACAGTGATAAGACTATTTAGGTAAATCTGATAACATTTTGACATAATGTGAATATCACCTGATAACGCCTACATATGCTTGGGCCCAAGTCAAACTGGAGGGGAAAGAGGAAAATGTATACATGCAATAATTTATGCTGACTAAACATTCATTCTAATGCCATTATATATGTACAAATAAAACTGCATACAGGATATCAGTGGAAATATATCAGATGAGTGTACAGCTTATAACAACGTCTGCGATGTGATGGAAAACAGAAAAAGAAGATTCTGAAAGCACAAGATTCAGATATGGCTCCTCAGAATTTATTTTGTTTTCTTTTCTTAGTAAAATGTACAGCTGTGTTCTATCTGCTTTGTCTTTTTTTTTTCTTCAAATGGCAGACTTAGAACTAAACACCAAATTATTACTAGATAATAAACTGCTTCTGTCCATCTGTCCACAAACACAAAAATAGGGGGCAATAATAATAAAACAAAAATATCTAGACACAACTCTTTCCTTCCAGAAATATATATAGATTATACATGCATCTCGTCCTAGTGCTAGGTAACAATGTCCATATTACAGCTCTTGGTTTTTATTCGTTTTCTCAAATTTTATTAAAAAATAACTCCAGTATGTTACAAAGATAGAAAATCTAGAGGCGGAATGGAAACTTGTAAGTGAACCCTCATAATGCACGAGGGATTGAAAGGCATTTAAAAAAAATAGCAACGAGACACCAAATTCAGCTGCGTTTAACCACACATCCATTTCAGGACTGCTTGGCAAACACTAGGTGAAAAGTATTTCCAGTATCCAGCAATATTTTTTTTTTGTGATTCGCTTTTTTTTTTCTTCACTAGTTTAAAAATGTCTCACAAAGACACAGAAAGTTCACATATATAGCAAGGGTGTGGAAATATACACTTGAAAAAGCCCTCTGGGCAACAGAACCCTGCAAATAACACAATATTATATTTTGTACAGCTTCATAATTAACAAAAATATATTTATTTTCATTTTTTTCCTTTAACTTTCAAACGAGGCTGACCAAAATCAGAAAACAAATATACGAACCAATGGCTTTACAGTTTAGCACAGGACTTAACAATACTACGTGTAAAAGAAACCCCCCGCAAAAAAACAAAAAAGCTCACGCACCACAGAGAAGCAGCATGCTTAGTAAGGCTTACTTCCAGCAAACAAATGAAAACAAAACACAGACTGACAGGTGAGGGACAACTGGGTAGAAAAATGAAAATTCCTTTGTATGGAGCTATAGGGAGGGAAAAAAATATTCTGTATTGATGTTGTAGCTGGTTAGAACATCATGCTTCCTGACAGGCCAAGAAGCAAAAAACTACTAAATTACATGGAAAGTGATAGAACAGGTGAAATATAAAACTGGGGAGAATAGTAAAAAATGCCAGGTAAGGCTTTCCAATTTTTCTAAAGATGACTTGTATAAATATGGCTGCATTTACCCACTGCTGGCTTTGAAATCCCCCAAGGGCATACCCATTGAGAAGCTGAAGGAAATGAGCACAAAGTTTGGGGTGAGGTGCTGCAGGGAAAGCGAAGCATGCAAAAATATGTTTAAAAAAACAAATACTGTAAAACAAAATCCCAGAAAATTTGAAAATCACAATTCAAGAAAGAAAAAAAAAAATCTCCTTATCATTGCTTGATAAAATATTGTGTGGCCATTATATACAAAAGGAAAAAAAAACCTTATGTCTTGTTAATACAAATATAGAAGATAAACACATGGTATCAATTTGCATTGTGAATTATTACTGCAATATTAAACTTGTGCTCCCTCAAGGACAGATAAACTGAAGCACAAAAATGCCAAATTTAGCCTATGTGGTCCTTGCCCAAAGAGAGCTAGGTACTAGGTGAGGGGCCTCCTTTATCCCTAGAGCTGCTCAAAAGCCTCTTCAAAACCTTACTTTCCGTTCAGTTTTTCTTGATAAAAAAAAAAAAATCTTGAAACTTTCAAAAATCTGTGCAGTAGTCTCCTCCCACATTAGCACAGACTTCATAATGCTCCATGATCTGCTTGAAATAAACATTTATTCCAGAGGATACATTTTGGGTAGAAACTAGAAAACGTCCATTTTAAACAAATTTCACATGAAAAATCTGGTAGTAAAAAAATTCACCAACATTGGTGCACTGCTTGATAGAAGGTGATGTGAATAAAAAAAAAAAAAAAAAAAAGCAAATGCCCA